TTTTTTTTTTTTTTTTTTTTTTTTTTTTTTTTTTTTTTTTTTTTTTTTTTTTTTTTTTTTTTTTTTATGTGAGGCATTAGGGCTTGAATCTATGACTGGAAATTACCTTTGGCAAGTTCATGATTTTGGAATAATAAATTATAATTTCAGCTGTCCTCCACGAAAAAAAAAGAAAGAAAGAGAGAGAAGAAAAACACATATTCTATAGAAGAGCGATGTGTTTCATCGATTTTTTGTTTTACACGGCATAGAACTGTTAAACTGTTTTCTAACAGTCCACACTAGCTCCCTTTACGGCTGTTTCTTTCAAGTTTTTTAAGTTAAAACTATGTTAAATTCAGCCCTCGTGCGTTTTTTGTTCACTTCCAGTTATTCTGTTGCACATTTTTGCTGTAAAAAATAAAAGAGAGGGAAACAGTTGAGAGTTTTTTAGTTTTATCGATCCCGTTTATAGAAAACAATCCTGTTACGCGCTTGAGGCATATTTAAAATCACTCCTCGGTAAGAGCTTTGTTGGGAGAACCATTCCTTGCTCTATTGAATATTTATGGTAAAGGATTGTATATTGTCCGAGTGTGTTCCATGACCTCTTAACATGTTCCCCGAGTTTTTATAATATTGCTTTACCTTTTTAGCTGGCGGCTTTCTATAATTGCTATCAGTGAAGCATTTGTTACAATGTTATCTGAAGCGTAAGGACTAAAGTGCAATAGCCCTCTCAATGAGGAATGTTGTTTGTGAGGCACACAATAGAAAAAAATTGTGTATTATGCATAATATGATGGTGAAAATTGTAACACAATAGAGCTCATGAGAGTTTGTTTAAGGAAATGATGAATTTTGGAGTATATTTTTTGGCTTCAAAAATTTAAAATGTTGATGCTTCATGGCATGCGCTTCAGTGAGGACTTCATTCATGGAAAACTTGCCTAAGCACGCTTTCAAAACATTGTTTTTATCTAACCCTTATCATGTATCTTATACGTGGGTTTCCCCCCCTTGCAGATGGGTATCCATTTGAGCCGCCCAAAATGCAGTTTGCTACAAAAGTCTGGTAAGGACAATATATGCATGGCTTCCTTTCTTGTTATGCTTGCCGAGCAGATAATGTCGAGATTTCTTAGGTGTGCACAGAGCGTGTCTGCGTTTAGTGGATGGAGTTGCTTTCCAGAGAACATGCAGATGTTTTCTTGATCTAATCAAAATAATAGTTTTGTTTTTGGATGTGGAGATTTGGAGGTCATCAATTGTGGATATGATGTTGCAATTTTCATTCAACACGTTGACATTGCTATGCATTCTGAATTTTTTCTAAAATGTTTTTACCATGAAGGAGTTTGTGACTTAATGTTATTGATCTAGTTCAATATATGTATATGAGATTATGCTGAAACTTTGGAGTTTTGTTTGGTCTATTATGTTGTGAAGGCACCCTAATATCAGTAGTCAAAGTGGTGCAATTTGCCTGGACATTTTGAAGGATCAGTGGAGCCCAGCACTTACGTTGAAGACAGCCCTGCTTTCTGTGCAGGCGTTGCTCTCTGCTCCTCAACCTGATGATCCTCAAGATGCTGTGGTGGCACAACAGGTATTGTTAAGTCTATCTTCACTGCATGGATGTTGGTTGTTTTGTGTTTTCAGATTTTGGTATTGAAGATATGAAGTTTAGATCCTATCAAAAGCGATATTAAGTTTAATATGTCCGAACACATATTGGTGCAGTATCTTAGAGACTACCAGACTTTTGCTGGCACAGCTCGATACTGGACAGAAACTTTTGCCAAGACGTCATCACTTGGAGTGGAAGAAAAGGTTAAAGCCTTAGCTTTGGTTTTGCATGTTGCGTGCATGATAAATCATATATAGTTGTGTTTGAGGAGTAGTTCTTTTGTTAAAGCGTGTGCACCGAATATTGATGTGAAGAAAATATTGCAGGTTCAGAAGCTTGTGGAGATGGGATTCCCGGAGGCTCAAGTAAGGAGCAGTTTGGAAGCTGTGGGATGGGATGAAAATTTGGCCTTGGAAAAGCTCTGCTCCGGCTAAGTTCTCACTCGTCTGCCATAGACGAAACATAGGAGCACATACTGATCCCAAGGGTCGTATTTATACTATGGCCTATAGTTTTTTTTTTTTTTTTTTTTTTTTTTTTTTTTTTTTTTTTTTTTTTTTTTTTTTTTTTTTTTTTTTTTTTTT